AGGAGTGCGCCATGAAGAGGAGTGCGCCATGAAGAGGAGTGCGCCATGGAAAGGATATCCTCTCTCGGATATCCTCGCCCGGATATCCTCTCCCGAATATTCTCTCCTGGATATCATGCCCCGCACCAGCTGGTGATGTATGTAGGGGAGAGGCGAAAGGGAGAGGTGAAGGGAGACGAAGGGACGAGGGAGGGCCTCATAGACGGCAGGGCGAGAGGAAGACGAGAGAAGAATATGTGAGAGAGTGTGAGCCAGCGTCCACTATTCATCCTGCCTTACTGTTCTGCACGACAGTGTTTTTGAGACGTCTCAAAAAGTCTATGTGAGAGAGAGTGAGCCAGCGTCCACTATTCATCCCGCCTTACTGTTCTGCACGACAGTAGGTGTGTACATGAGCAGTTTTGCAGCGTCTAACTCTCACATCTCACCTTCCTGTTCTGCACTGCAACTGGTATGCGCCTCAGCAGCGACACGGCAGGCGCCAGAGACAGGAAGAGAGGAAGCTTCTCTGCCATTTCCGAGAAGACCACATCGGACGGCGAGCGGGCGGAGGAGAGAAGGTTGAGGAGGGCAGGAAAGGCGGCAAAGCGGGTTCCTGAGGGGTAGTCGAACTGAGGGAGAAGGGGAAAGGGAAGGAGGGGCGGGGAATGTGGAGTGGGGAATGTGGAGTGGGGGATGGGGAGTGGGGGATGGGGAGTGGGGGATGGGGAGTGGGGGATGGGGAGTGGGGGATGGGGAGTGGGCGATGGGGAGTGGGGGATGGGGAGTGGGCGATGGGGAGTGGGAAATGGAGGGCAGACGGGTTGGAGCGCCAGAGAGCAAGTTTGGGGAAGGCAGCGAAGTGGGTGCCTGCCTGCGGGGTAGTCAAACTGAGGGGGAAGGGAAGGGGGTCAACAAAGAGGTTTGGGGAATGGGGGATGGAGGGAAGAAGGGTTGGAAGCGGCAGGCCAAACATTGAGGAGAAGGGGGAGGGTGATGAAACGAGTGGTTGCCGGGTAGTCGAAGAGAGGAAAAGGGGAAAAGGTGTTGGTAGTGGGCGTTAGGGGTTGAGTGGGGGGGTAGGGCCACAGTTGGAGAGGAGGCAGCAAAAAAGAAACTGAGGCGGAAGGGAGAGGAAGCAGAGTGGGTGCCTAAGGGTGGGGGGGAGTAGTAAGCGATATGATAGCGCAGGGAGAATGGGCCCGAGTGAGACAAGTGAGCTGAGCGGGAGGGATTACAAAGGATGAGAGGTGGAGTGTGGGGGATCCTGGAGAATGGATGATGGGTGGTAGAAGAAGATAGAAACAAGGAGAGCTACGCACATCGGCCAATCGGTCGCCGCATCTCCCGGCGTCAAACAGATGTGTCTGGTTGAACACCTGACCCCTCCAGTTCACAAATACGTTCCGCAGCCGGAAAAGCTGCCCGGACCATTCCTTTTGGCTGCCCGGATCTGGTATATCCACCTGTAATGACTCCGGCCACTCCCCCTGCTCCTCCCAAAATCTTTTCATTTTCAAGACTGCGTCTGCACACTGCGCTGGGACGACCCTGGTCATCTCAAGCTCATCCGGAATCTCCGGGCAGAATGCAGGAAACTTTTTCTGCTGCCCGGAGGGGGTCTGCTCCAATAGGTCCACGAAATCTCTGTTCCAGCATGCCTCAATCTGCCCCAGGGCACCTGAGCAGGGTGAAAATTCCGGGCAGCTCCCTCCTTTACACCCCCCTCCTCTCCCCCGAGCATCGCCTCCTCCTGCATAGAACCCCAAGGCGACAACGGAGAGATCTGCACCGTTGATTCGCGCTGTCGTGGATTCATCAGCAATAACGGGCCTCTGTGGGCCATTGGATTCCCCAGATGCGCCTTCCCAGAGTACCACCTCCGATCCTGACGCCCCCGAAGCGCGACCAGCCCGACCAATCAGCTTCCTCCTGCTGCCGCTGCTATCCTCGCCTCTCCAATCGCTGCTGGGCCCGATTCTACTACCGGCTCCGGCGCTTTCGGCCAAGGAAGCTGCGAGGAAGGAACCTTCGCAGGATACAGAAGCAGCAGCGGGGACGTTGGTCAGCGCGATAACGCGCCGCGAACGGACTGACAGGTGGAGAAAGACGAGGAAGAGGAGGATGGATCTGTATGGACAGAGTTGCGTGTAGCCGATCCGGAGTGTCATTTCAGAGCCTAGGGAGCATCAGAAGTCGTTCATTGAGGCGCGGAAGAGCGACACGGGCAGCGAGCATCTGAACCTGCTGCACTAGACTCTTCCAATCAGACTCTTCCAAGAAGTGAGAGTAGGTCTAACTTTGGCCAGACCGACCAGACTTCTTTCGGACTGAGGGACGTACGACGCGCAACGTGCTAAAAAAAAATTGAGTCGCATATTCCAGAAATCGGCTTTCTCAATGCATCGCAAAACGGAGTGGTAAGGACTAGTACCGACAGTTCAATCTGTGCGCTTCTGTGCATGAAGGGATGGTAAGCCACAACTCGTGAAGCGGGAGTGGAAAACCGCACTGAGAGATTGGACTGAGCGGAGCAACTGACGGCGGTAGCACAAACCCGCCGAAATGCTGAACCAATGCCAGCTTCAGGCAGAACAATGCAGGCAGGAATGAGAGATAGACACGGAATTGGCAAACGAAAGAGTGAGCGGACGGCAAGCGGCTGGAGTGGTAGGCAGGTGATTTTGACTGATTCAATCATAACGCTTTCAATCCCTAGAATGTGTGCCTCCACCCGGTTTGAATAGAATTCTTGATAGCGAGGATATGTGTTCATGTCCTTGCAATACTTGTGCGCTTGTTTTATTGCACACATAGAACATATAGTGTAGTGGTTGGTTACGAGGACAAACCACTTATTGACACCCAAGCTGGATTTGCCCAATCACAGAGCTCGAGGATTTTCGTTGATGCTGTGGGTGCTGGGCGTGAGCGAGGGTATACCACCAGGCACAAGTATCGCCAACCTTTTCCCCCCTGCATGCTCCCGCCCACGCCTTGAGCGAATACGCCCGCAAGCCAGCGAACCAATCAGCTGCTTCTGAAACTTTCGGTATATTCGTCAGCCCACCTCATCAGTCATGCCTCCGAAAACTTTTGTGTTTTCGCCGTTTCGCCAGCTCAAGCACCATTCGGGCAAATGCGGCGTTCGCTTTGTGCTGACTCCACCCCCAGAACCTGGAACTGATCAACAGGATATTCAGCCACCTGGGGTTCCAATAACGAGACAGGCCTCGCTTTCTGATTTCGAGGCCCAACCGTGTTCTCCCTCGATATAAGCTGCCCAGCGCTGAAACTTCTGCGCCAAACTCCTCCTGCCTCCCGCTAAAGTCTGTTCCCCTGATGCAAAGGTCCACCCTCCCCTTTCCCCTTCTTCCCCCAACCCTGCTTCTGTGATTCTGCGAACCTTGGGATTTGCTGGCTGCTTCAAATGCCCCAGCCTGTTCATTGATCGTACTTCTCAGATCTTTTTTCTGATCCCTTGATCCTAGTTCCTTGTGTCAATCACCATTCCTTTTCTTCATGGTCGCTGGATTTCACACGCGACCTAAGCCGTTGTCAGCTCGGCATCGCGCCGCCTGTCGGTGGTTTGTCGGGAATTTTCGAGTAGATTGATGTCCCAGCAACCGGGTAGGGCCGATAGATCGGATCAGGCGAACCGGAAAGGGAGAGGAGGCGGGACGAGTGGTCCGCGCCAGCAGGGGGTTCCGCAAGGAGGAAAGGGGCCCAGCCCCGTAGTTAGCAGTCAGAGCTCTGCTGCCGGCTCATCTGCCGGCTCGGCTGCCGGACGCGGTCAACCGCAAGGAGTGGGACGAGGGTACGTGATTCGATGTTTCAAAGCGCGGTAGACTGTAGTGAACATTGTGGGTAGTGTCATGCAGTAATTAGTAGATTACGTTAGCTAATCGTTTACTGCGGAGAAGCAGCAGATCCTAGGTATTAGGATATAACATAAGCAGCAGCTCGAAGGTTATAGCATATCGTGAGTAGTAGCAGCTTGGGGTAATAAATATCTTAAGAGAGGACGACTGTAGATACCTTGCTGGAGTTCGTATGTGGAGCAGACATGGAGATTATTTGATTGTCCCCTCCCGTGGGCCTTTCGGTTCAGTTTCCCGCGACAACTAGTTTTGTGATCTGCTCATGCCAGTTGGTCTGTCTGATCCGTTAGGTTACTTAGCCAGCAGGTTTAGACATCGACCACGCGTAATCCGACATTCGGACGTGATCTGGCATTCAGGCGTGAAATATTGGTGTTACCATAGTTTCACGGATTGAACAGACCTGTTGACGCGTGTTTGCGAGGTTTTCCGCAGCCAGCAGATCGACCGTTTTTTCGTTCCAGTCTCGTTCAAGGCCGCTTGCTTCCGATACCTAGGTCGCTCTGCGACTTTCTCCCTTGACTGTTTTCCTCCATACTTGATCCCAGACAACCCTTTTTCACGTATTTCCCTCACCGTTCCGCGGATCTTTCCCGATCCTTTGTCTAATTCCGCTTCCCCCTACTTCAGGTTCCGCCGGACACCGAATGGCCCCGCGGAAGGCGCAACGAGCGCCGGCGGTGCGGGCAGAGGCGGCATCGGTCGGGGAAGCGGGCAGGGGATGCCAGGCGCAGCGGGAATAGGCGGAGCTGGCGGGGGATCCGGCGGAGGTCCGGGCGGGTATCGTGGAGCAACAGGTAGGCATATGGAGAGGAAGAAAAGATACGGTAGTTGCGTGTACTGTAACAAAGTGTAGATGCTTACAGATTGTCGTGCCGGAGCTGGTTGGTCACGACAGAAGAAATCCGCTCCGTGAAACAGAAGTACATACATACAGTGGAGACCAGAACGAAGGAATTAAAATAAGGATTAAGAGATCGGTGTATTCAGCTAGAAGTATGACTGGGTTGGTAAGTGTATTCTACTTGTACTGCGCCTTATCTTGGAGACTCAGACTCGGTATGCCAAGTTGCCGCGATTTTTCATGTGGCGTGATCCATTCGCCAGCCGGGGCGAGGGTATTATTGAGGCGTATTTTGTATGTTTTGCCTGTGCCTGCCTCTATGTTCTTGCCTTGTACCGATTCCCATTCAACAAACTTTCCTGTTCGATTGCTCCCCTTCGCTGATGCAGGTGCTCAGTCCCAGCAAAGATATGGATCAGCGGCAGTCGCGGGAAACGGTCCCACACCAGCAGCAGCGCCTGCGCCTTCCGCTTGGGGCGCAGGCCCTGCGCGCACAGGTGCGCCTACCCCCGCCGCTTCCACCACCCAGCAGCGGCAGCAACAGCAACCAGCGGTGCAGTTGTCGTCTGGCCCGGGGATTCCAGGGTTCGAATCCGCGCCTCCGCCTGCGGATTCCGCCTTCCCCGGTCTCTCCTGTTCCACGTCCGCGGGCGGAGCAGCAGTTCGGCCTGGGGCTTCGGGCGTAGCTGCGTCGGGCGCAGGCGCGCCTGCGCCAGTAGCAGGGTCTGGGGGAGCGCCTGGCGCAGGACCCGCGGGTGTGCCTGCGCCGAGACTATCGTTTGCCGCTGCCGCAGCGGCTGGGGGGATGTCGTACGCGCAAAGAGCAGCGCAGGCGCTGAATCGCGCGGCTGCACCGCCCGCCCAGGCGCAACAGGCGCAGGCGGAGCAAGCGCGGGTGGGCGGAAGCGGGGCGCAGCAAGCGGCAGGTCAAGCAGGGGAAGCCGCCTCACAGGGGAAGGCGGACGCTGCTAAGCCGCCGCAGGGCACGGAAACAGCAGCACAGGCGGGTAGTGCATCTCAAGCAGCTGTGCAGAAGCAGCCGGATCAAACACGCACCCAGCAACTTCAGCAGCAGCCGTGGCAGGGTCAGAAGCCTCAAGTACCAGCCGCAGCAGCGGCCTCAATCCCTACAGCCACAGCAACCGTTACCAAGCCTGTTGCTCCGTCCGCCACAGCTGCTACTGCTACTGCCACTGCTACTGCTGCGGCGGCGGCGGCTGCATCCGCAGCAGCAGCTGCTGTTTCTGCTACTTCAGGCGCTTCTGCCCCAGCCCAGTCCTTCGCAGCAGCAGCTGCTGCTGGTGCCGCGGCTGCTTCTTCTAAAGTGCCTGCCGCAGTGGTTGCCAAGCCAGGCCAATCCGTCGCGCCTGTTCCCCAAACCTCCACCGCAGGCTCGGCAGCAGCGCCGGCGGGGTCCCTCACAGGGTTCTTGTCAGCTGCGCGCGCGGGGCTAGGGGAGGGCGCAGGCACAGGCGCAGGCGCAGCTGGTGGGGTGGGGATGGACGGGGGTCAGGGGGCAGCGGGCGGGGCAAAGGGTGGCGCAAAGGGTGGGGCGAAACCACCTGCGAAGGCTCCTGGTCCTGCTGCGGCTGTAGCAGGGCCTCCTGCTCTCCCCCCCGGCGTATCGCCTGTAGCTCTGCAGTTCGGCACGTTCAACCCTAACTTCATGGGCGCTAGTGGCCCCGTCATTGTACGCCCCGTTTCCCCTTTCTCTCTTCCTCGCTCCCGTCCTCTGTCTCTCACCACTTGAGCTGCTTTCGCTTGGGCCTCCGCTCCCGTTGTTACAACTGTTAATGATATGCTAGGTCAGTTCTCTCTTGCCTCCTCCGTCTATTCACCACCTGTGCTGTTCCATTTTCTCACCTGCTTCCGTGGCTTCTGCTGCAGGTTCCCCCCCGCACCACGTCTGCTCCACCCAATCTGGACGAGCAACAGAAGGAGCAGGTACACACCATCGGCCCCACCGTGCTTCGCTCTCCGCCTTCTCTGCTCGACCTTCCCATTCCCCGCTGCTGTCTTATGTTCACTCTTGCTTTTCTTCTCTCTCACTCCCTTCCCTAATTTTGTTTGCGTTTTGTAACAAGCCTCCCACAAACAAACCCCCCTCGCCCAAGCCCCAACCCGATCGTGCGTGACTCAAGACCTTGCTCCATGCCAGCAGCAAACTGTTACATCCAGAAAGTTCCGCTTTACCTCTTACGCCAATCTACTCTTCCCTGCCTGCCTGCCTGCTTGTCGTCTACCTGCCTACCTGTCCCTTGTCTTTCTCCTGCCCATCAGGCGCGGCACGAGGCCATGCTTCGCCAGCAGCAAGCAGCCAAGTCCGGAGAAGCAGGGGCAGCACCGGCAGTCCCTAAAGCCCCTATCGGCGGAAGCATTCCAGAAGAATCCCAACAGGTGCTCCCGGCTCCTTCCGCTGCTGTTTCCACTAGTGGCAGCGCAATTACTGCTCCAGTTGCTGCAGGGGCGGGAGGAGCCTCAGGAATTGTAGCAGGGGCACCAGCAGGAGCAGCAGCAGGAGCAGCAGGGGGGCAGAATGTTGGGGGAGTAGCAGCGGGAGGAGGTGGGGCGGGGAGGGGGATGGGACGAGGGGGGCAGCAGGCACATGGAGGGGGCAGAGGGGGCGCGGGGATCTTGTCGTCTGCTGGGGTCAGTGCATGGGGCGCAGGCGCTGCAGGGGCAGGCGCGCCTGGCGCAGGTGGTGCGGGTGCATCTGGGATAGGTGCATCTGGTGCAGGTGCAGGTGCGGCATTGGGGAGTGAGGTCGGAGTAGCAGCGGCACGACAGAACCAACAGCAACAGCAGCAACAGCAACAGCAGCAGCAGCAGCAGCAGAAGCAACAGCAACAGCAACAGCAACAACAACAGCAACAGCAGCAGCAGCAACAGCAACAGCAACAGCAGCAGCAGCACCTGCAGCAGCAGAGACTGCATCAACACCAGCTTCAGCAGCAGCAACAGCAACAGCAGCCTCGCGGTCAGGGCTTCCAACAACCTCCGTTTCAGCACCAACACATTCCGCTACACCAACAGCACCATCACGCTCCAGGGCAAGTCCCCATCCCTCTGCAGCAGCAACAACAACAGCAGCAACAGCAACAGCAACAACAACAACAACAACAACAACAACAACAGCAACAGCAGCAGCAACAGCAGCAGCAGCAGCACAGACCCCAACACCCCGGGCAGCCATCCCAGCAACCCCCACAGCCCTCCCCTCCTCCGCCGCTCGTTCAACCGCCCTTGCAGCCTCTTCCCGCCCCTCACATACGCCCTCCCCTGATGATGCCTGGCGGCCAGCCTCAGCTACAACCGGGTCAGCTACAACCGGGCCAGCTACAGCCTCAGCTACAGGGTCCGCTACAGCAGGGCCCACTACAGCAGGGCCCTCTGCAGCCAGGCTCGATACAGGCTCAGTTACAGAACCAGCTACAGCAGCTGCCGCCTCACCTGCAGCATGCTGCCATAGCGCTACAGCAACAGGGCCACGGCCTTCCCCCGCATTTGCAGCATCCTGGATTACACCAGCCGGATTACACCAGCATCCCTGCCCGGGTCTGGGTCTGTTGCTCCTCTTGACGAGAGCCTTTTTGAAGTGGAAGAGGAGGAAGAGGAAGAGGAAGAGGGAGGGGAGGAAGAGGAGAAGGAGGAGGAGGAAGAGGAGGAGGAAGAGGAGGAAGACGTGGAAGCAGAAGAGGAGGAGGCGGCGGAGGTAAGATTGGAGAGTGCGGGAGCACGTGGGGGTAGGGATGACAAGAGGGAGCATGTGGGTGAAGTGGAGGAGGAGGAGGAGGAGGAGGAAGAAGGGGACGGCGACAAAGGAATGCATACTGCTTCTGCTGCTGCTGCTGCTGCTGCAAGCGGCTGATGCTACAACATGTGAAGCAGCTCCCAGCGTTTCTTCCCATGACCTAAGATCGGCGTCTGTGCCGGCTGCCATGGCTGAAGCACCGCCACACAGCAAGCACCAGCACCACCGCTCCCGCTTCTTTCAATCCGCCTCCGGAAAACTCGCCGCGTTTTTTCAAAAACTGCCCAGAAAACTGCCCAAAAACATCCACCTCCTGCCGTCCCCGCGTGGCTTGTCAGCGCAAGCAGCCGCCCACGACGTACGCCTCACGCCGCCCCAACCGCTCCTTCTGATCAAGCCACTTGCTACTCCAGTCCACACGCTGCCGCCCGATGCCGCCCCAGCCCGCCCGCTGGCGCCTGCGGAATCTTCTCAGCAGGTGCAGCAACAGCACGCAGAGGAGGAAGAGGAGAAGAGAGAGGATAGAGAAGAGGAGGAGCGAGGGGACGGTGTGATGCAGGATTGGGCTGAACAGTACGAGCAGAGTGCAGGCAGCGGCGAGATTCCCAGCAGTGTGATTACCAGCAGTGTGGTTACCAGCGCGCACAGCAGCAGGCGGAGCGAGTGGGAGGCAGCGAGCAGTGAGGGTGACAGCCAAAGCGCTCGCCACTGCAGCAGCAGGAAGCAGAGCAGCAGTCAAGAATGCACCGAGGCCAGTACCATAAGCAGCAACACATGTGTTACACTGCCTGCTAGTCCCTCACCCCAGAAGAGCACTTTAGAGGAAAAGGAAACCACTGCTGCCCCTACAGCCTTCCACCCAGCCGCTTGTGGTGCTGCTGATGCTCCCTGTAACACCACTGCTCCCACCGCTGCTGTCGCTGACGATCCCAAATGTTGCACTGCTGTTATTGCTGCGAACAACATCGCCGCCACTGCTGGTATTCTCAAGGGCGCACACTGGGGGCTGAGCCGGGCGGCAGATCATATCTTGGAGCAGGCATATGAGGATCTGAGTGAGAGATACGCGGTGGAGGGGCGGCAGCTGGGCAGCGGGCAGTACGGCGTGATTCGGCGGTGTGTGGAGGAGGGCACGGGGCGCGTGTGGGCATGCAAGACGATCGACAAGCGCAAGATTAAGGTGGGTCTGGTTCGGAGCTACTACATCGCAATGGGTGTTTCTTGTTTGTTTTTTCTTCTCTTTCTCACTTTCTCACTTTCTTTCTGCCTTCAAATATATATACATATATATAGATGATGCTGCAAAAGATGACTACCACATATGCCTTCCCTCCCTCCCCTCCCCTTTCCCCCTCCCTCTCTCCCCACCAGACCCCAGCCCAAGCCAGTGACCTGCGCAGCGAGGTGGCAACCCTACAGCTACTCCATGGGCACCCATCAGTCATCACACTCATCGATGCCGTTGAAGACTCCCACCACGTGCACCTCCTCATGGACCTCTGCTCGGGCGGCGATCTCTTCGACCGCATCTCGCTGGGCGGCGCGCTGAGCGAGCAGTGCGCGGCCGGCGTGTGTCGGCAGCTAGCGGAGGCGCTGCTGCACTGCCACCGGCGGGGCGTGGTGCATCGAGACGTGAAGCCCGAAAATATTCTCCTGTTGGGGGGCCGAGGAGGAGAGAGAGGAGACACCAAGGCTCCTCGGATCAAGCTCGTAGATTTCGGCATCGCAAGGTTCTTCCGAGACGGGGAGAAGATGCGGGACTGCCTCGGAACGCCCGAGTACATGGCTCCTGAGCTACTCCTGGGGTCTTACGGGCCTGAAGTGGACGTGTGGAGCGCCGGCGTGGTGACTTATGTGTCCATCTGCGGGCATCCGCCCTTCTGGGCGTCGGCTTCTATGGGGCAGTCGCTGCAGGAGGCGATTCTGACCAGGGATGTCACGTTTGCGACGCCTGGATGGGTGGGTGTTTCGGCGGGGTGTAAAGAGCTTATAAGGAGGATGCTGCATAAGAATCCAAGGAAGAGGATCACGCTGCTGGAGGTTCTTGGTGAGTGCTGGTGGTTATCAGCCCGCATCCCTGCCCTATGCATCCCTGCCCTATACATCCCTGCCCTATACATCCCTGCCCTATACATCCCTGCCCTATACATCCCTGCCCTATACATCCCTGCCCTATACATCCCTGCCCTATACATCCCTGCCCTATACATCCCTGCCCTATACATCCCTGCCCTATACATCCCTGCCCTATACATCCCTGCCCTATACATCCCTGCCCTATACATCCCTGCCCTATACATCCCTGCCCTATACATCCCTGCCCTATACATCCCTGCCCTATACATCCCTGCCCTATACATCCCTGCCCTATACATCCCTGCCCTATACATCCCTGCCCTATACATCCCTGCCCTATACATCCCTGCCCTATACATCCCTGCCCTATACATCCCTGCCCTATACATCCCTGCCCTATACATCCCTGCCCTATACATCCCTGCCCTATACATCCCTGCCCTATACATCCCTGCCCTATACATCCCTGCCCTATACATCCCTGCCCTATACATCCCTGCCCTATACATCCCTGTCCTATGCATCCCTGCCCTATGCATCCCTGCCCTATACATCCCTGCCCTATACATCCCTGCCCTATACATCCCTGCCCTATACATCCCTGCCCTATACATCCCTGCCCTATACATCCCTGCCCTATACATCCCTGCCCTATACATCCCTGCCCTATACATCCCTGCCCTATACATCCCTGCCCTATACATCCCTGCCCTATACATCCCTGCCCTATACATCCCTGCCCTATACATCCCTGCCCTATACATCCCTGCCCTATACATCCCTGCCCTATACATCCCTGCCCTATACATCCCTGCCCTATACATCCCTGCCCTATACATCCCTGCCCTATACATCCCTGCCCTATACATCCCTGCCCTATACATCCCTGCCCTATACATCCCTGCCCTATACATCCCTGCCCT